AAGAAGCTTGCTTAAGTGACTTATTTGAAAAAGTCTGGAAATATTAAAAGACTATATTCCATAGTAGGTAGATACACATCATTCTCCTCTGGGTCATTATCATCATCATCATCATCATCTTCATCTCAAAGACAGGTTTTGTGGGCAGTGCAGTTTCAGGCTCTAGAGATTAATGGGTATTAGTCTAGAACAGGGCTGTCAAACTCGCAGCCCGCAGGCCGGATGTATCACATGCTGTCCACGCCCCCGCCCGGTTTAGCAAATGTGGGGGAAGTCCCGATACATCATGTGGAAATAGTTGAGCCAGTTCAATGAACAGCTAAGAAATAAGGTGAGCACGAATTACATAGAAAGCAAACGTGGAAGATTTTCTACTTCTTAAATTGGAATTTAATTACAGTTAAAAGCTGGGGGAAGCATTAATGTCCTGCCTGGCAAGTCATAATTTATTAATTCGTCTTGGACAAGGAATGGAAGACTTCCTGGTTTGTTTGCCAGTTCATGGAAAGAGTGAAGGCATTCTTATATTTAGTTGAGGTTATTAAACCGAAATACAATGATCCAAACACAGCAATATCATCTAACCACTGTTTCAGGTCAATTAAATTTTGAATCACAAAGAGTTGTCTTTATGTCTTGGCACAATACATTGGCTCCCATGCAACGAATGGAGCTGTTAGCCAATATAAACATGCATTCTCCATAATTTACTAAATGGTGTTTCTTTTGAAGCATTGGGGGCCAAAGAAAACGTTTACTTTGAGAATTAGGAGCAACAATTCTAGAGGTTTTCCAAAACGTAAGGATATACAGCTGCTAGACTTTCCTAGCATCGGTCCCTCCAGCTGTTATGGACCACAACTTCCAACAGAAACAAACCAAAGGAGTACCAGGCACAAAATATCTGAGAGCACACTGTTTCTCAAATGATTTTCCCCAAGGAATCATATATCACTCTTTAAAATAAGGAAACTTTTATTCTACAAGAACTTTCAGAATGCTATAATTTAAAATATTTTATTACAAGGCTTCAAGATTGTCGTACTTTAGATAATTCAACTGTATCTGAAAAACGGCAAGATCATTTTACAAAAGAACTTGATCAATCAGCCAACATACGCAAAATAGTTCTGCGCACACCACTTGCAAATTTTACAGTACTTAGTAAGCAAGCTTACAAAACAGTAGTATTTCTGCAATTTATAATATGTAAACTTTGTTAGACCTTATAAAACACATCAGCAAAACTATTACAGGAAATGAAATCTATTAGCTAGGTAGCTCCGTAGTTCAAAGACCATTGCTATGTCTCACGGTTTAAGGGCCTGGACTTTAAGAAAATATTACCAAGAGACTCTTCCTGGACTTCTAAAAACAATGTTAATAAAAATATATGGATTTCAGACTATTCCATTATATTAGACTTTATAAAACAAGCATGCTCCATTGATAACATCATATTCAAGATGCTTACAATTGGTAAATTAAACTGACAGATAATAAATTAAGTGCCGGTGCTGCTTACACACTAGCAAGAAGCGTGCAAAAATATTCAATATGGTATTTAATTTCGTTGTACAGGGTGCAATGACAATAAAGTGAAGTAAACTAAACAAATGTTTTCTAAGAGGTATAGAGAGCGCTGCCTTCTTGAAAGAATTCAATAAAGGGCCAATTGTTTTGGATGTGGATTTGGAACTCAGCATCTGTTTACACTAGGTTTGTTTCTAACTGCTTGTCTGGTAGCCCACAAGCAAATAAGAACTCCATGATGATGAGTGACAGGTCTGGTGGAGGGGAGGAGAGATTCTTCCACTCGTTCCCTTGTTTCCCGGATAGCCATAACAGAAAGAAAAATCTCTATATTCTAATCAACAAAGAAATATAAACTAATGATTGCACTGGCTAACAATTCCTATAGTCTATAGACTGGAATCACATATTGCCTGAGAAATAGTTTTAAGAATAATTTGCTGAATAAGTCCTAATGGTAGGATCCGTGCAATGCAGTACAATATAGCAAGTCATGAACCATAGTTTACAAAACAATGTGATTATGGTCATACAACACACTAAACCAAAACAAACCACATCACAGGTTAATATTAAACTGTGATCTAAATAAATAAAAAACAGCAAGCATCATAATGCCAAATCTTAAATAGGCCTTCTTAAGAGATAAATCACTGGGACAAACTTTATAAACTTTCCTGTAAGATAATTTCAGATTGTCAACATAATACGATAAATATCCTTTATCTAGGAATTGAAATAAAAGAGAGAAGAGAGTTTTAGAAAAAAAACAGGGCTGCTGCCACAGTGGATAGATGCACACCTAAAAAGTGGACACTGAAATTATTTTGGGATTTTACAATCCTACATCATTATGTAGACCTTGATTGTGTCAATAGTATAGACATCAAGACAAATATGCAGAATTAGTCGTTAAATATGCCACAGAATAAAGGCACTGTGTCAACATGTAAAAGAATGATGGAGGCATCAAAGTACAAAACACCTTTCCACAATACAAGGTGAATTGTTCAGTGAAATCCACATGCTTCCTTAATACTTTTCTTTAATCATACCTTAGTAATATTTGGGATTAATTGCCACAGGGCAGCAAATTAACCAGCAGAGAAGAAAAACAGTGTGGCAGTTTAAGTGTTTTAAGTAGCTAGATTCAAAATTCTCCTAACGTTAATCATAGGGTTACTTTTCTCAGATCAATCTATCTCACACGACTAACACAGGAGATAAAACTAAGTAAGCTATAATATATAAAACATAGTTCCCCTTAAAAAAAATTGTAGGTTTCCAGAAATATAGAACTTCTCCATTTAAACAAGACAGTAAACGTAACAACAGTTAGGATAGACACTAAAGCAACACTGCCTACTTCTAGCAAGGAGACAGGCAGATAAAACTTGAGAAAGGCAGAATATAAATCTAATAAATAAATACCCCCCCCCCCCAAATTGTAAACAGGGTTAGACAGTAATATTTGCATACATATCATTCTATTAGACATTACATTGGTGATTCATTCACTTCATTCTTATCTATCAAGACTCAAAACTTTAAAGCTGTCAACATAATCAACATACTGTATACAGAAATAATCATTTGGAGATCAACAGCACTTTAAAAATCAAGGAGACATTAGAATGGCAGCGTCCTGCATGTAAGTGATATAAGAGACTGAAGCCCCAGCTTGCTAAATTCTCTGCCACAAGCTGCCTCCTTGGCTAGCAAGACTCTAAATGGTCACATTGCTGCCCAACAGGTTGCCCAATACTGTTCTTACTCAATGCAAAGGTGAGCTGAGTTTAGGAGCCAACTATTTGTCATCCGACAAGCTTGGGCTTAGAAAAAAATGTGAGTAGCTTTCCAACTTCCTTCTGTGGACGCTTCACTGTCAATCTTAACTGTTGCAGACGATTACACCACTTCTATTGGAATTATAGGATCACCAAGCAAATACGACACTCAAACTTTCTTCTCTTGTTGCTGTATCATACTCCCAATTTTCTCCTCCTCCTCCTCCTTCTGAAAGCAACTGTACTTTAGGACTAGTGAAAGGAATCCAACTAACATCACTAGGACTGTGCAGTGCTTTGGATCTGAAATACTCCAGCTGGATGCCACTGTTAATGTAGGTAATAGCACTCTTTAAATCAACTGCATCCTTTCCCAGGATCACCCTATGCAATTGCGGTGTGATCCCAAGAAAAACCATGTCTGATTATGACTTACAGGCAGGTGCAATATTGATGCTCCAAAGTACCTTTTAGGATCTGTCTCTGAAGCCATGCACAGCCTTATACTTATTACCACCATGATAAGTGCTGAATAACACTGACAGGGGATCAATGAAGACTAAGGGAAGAAAAACAGAGCAAAGTATGTTTATCATACTGTTAAACAAGCACCGTAGTTAGAAAATAAATCCACATCTTTAATTCTGCTGGTAAACAGGGACTAACCTAAAATTATAAATGCAGTTTCAGAATAACAGAGTTGGGAAAGGGACCTTGGAGGTCTTTTAGTCCAACCCCCTGCTCAAGCAGGAGACTATACTACTCTAGACAAGGTAAGAGTTCAGGTAAGAGTTCTGTTGCAGGAAAGAACTGCAAACACCAAATATATTTTTATAACAGATATGATTGTTATATTCTTTTAAATACACACAAATACCAATGAGTCAAGCTTTATTTTTTGATACAGATACAAACATCAAATATTCTTGGCAACAATATCAACATGATTTGCAATTACCATCTTGATTTCCCAATCTAATCTATAGCCCACAAATTCTTGGTGATCTCTAATCCAAGTACTGCCAGAATGAGCCCTACTTAATTACAAAGCTCATTTAAAACCAGTCAGGGGTTACCACCCAAGGGTCTCAAGTTTGGGGTTACAAATTGGTACCATTATTTTGAAAATTAAATGTGTGTCTAGCCATATTAAATCCATTCCTATTTTTGAGTGGATCTGGACATCTGAATATACTTCATAAGATAATGACAAAATATTTCCACTGACAAATTTTACTCTCCCATGAAACAACCTGTACCAGTGACAATTATGCACTATATAAATTTAGGATTTGTGCCATCCTTCAAACATGATTATCCTGGGGCTCTTTTTTAACAACATTCTAAATTTACAATTTAAATATATGAATCAGATGTCCAGGCTGCTTTTTAATTATATGTCACCTCAGATAATTTACATATGCATTCTCAAAAATCCTCTCAACAACCTTGCAAGGTAGTACTTTTGAGAATGCATATGCAATCTTGACGCTGCGGAATGGCACCACCTGATAAAGAAAAAAGGTCTTGATAGAAAGTCAGTTTCTGAGCCAAGAACGGAAGTGGAAAATTCCAGCACACGGCTTGGCTAGTTACACTTCTACAATTCCACACCTCAAGGCAGGCCTGGATATCCTTCATTACTACTAGCCAAAGATTCAGCAAGCATCCCCATCTTACCTTATCTTTTTCGTGTGGAAGCAGTGAAACCGGAGGAAGACAAGAAAGAGACTCACAACTCTCTTTCCCATCTGCGTGTGTGGCTGCTTTCGTGTTGAGCTGATACAAAGGTCCATCTTTAAGGAGTCGCCCATGGCCAACAGCACGCTTAATGGCCAACCGCAGCTGCTGATGAAAGGTAGAAGGGGCACCACTGGCAAACAAAGCTGAGACATCCTTCTGCCCTTTCAAGTAACGCTCAATGTTCTTCAAAGATGACCCAGAAGACTCTGCCAAGCCCTCAATTGCCCTCTTGATCAGTTTGTTCCAGTCCACATTTGGTTTACCATCCAACTTTCCATGGTTCCGTGGTTTAGGAAGTGCTATTCGCCCAGGGTTATCTGGATCCTTGTAGGAATTAAGTCCTTTATTAGAAACTTTTAAAATAGTCCCATCTTTAACGCTCAGTTCCAACTGTTCCAGGACAGTTTTGCGATCCAAACCGTGGGATGAAGAGACGGCATTGCATATCCTCTCTTCGGATGGCCGCTGTTTTTGCTTCTTGACCTTTTTAATTGCCTCCAAAATCCACTCCGTGTACAGCGGGTTAGCGAGTTTTACCATGGTGAAAAATTCTTTATATCCATAGAGTCGTTATCCCTTATCCCTATGCTGAAGGAGTTTCACACAATGGGAAAACAGAAGATCGGAGAAAGAGGACCAGTTAATCATAGCATATGCGTTTTTGGCCCCAAATTGCTCTTGTTTTTTACAAACATCAGTATTTCCTACTTCTGATTCACGGTTTTCCAATAGCCTCCCCCACTCCAAAAAACCCCAACCCAGATGAAAAAAAAAACACGTATCCACACAAGTAAAAAGATATCAATACATTTCATTCCACTGCTTGGTAATTCCCAATTTGACAGGCAAACCGTGCACCTGCAAGAAAAGCAGAGGAGAAGGGGGAAAACATAGATTAAGTAACTTAACACAATCTGTGAAGATATTGTAGGATTTGTTATCATAAAACAGCCCTGTTTATAAACCCCCCTCCCCAATTGCCTCCCAAGAACACTTTTACTTGTTCCACAACTGAAACTGAAAGCATTTCAGAACCGGTTATCTTAAAACAGCAATGATCAATCCTTTCTTTTCTTCTTTTTTTTTTTTACCCCAACCAACTCTGAACTTTTGGCAGCCACATAGATGCCCTTTATCAAGCTCCAGATTTACACCAGGGAGGCAAACCCCAAATGGGGAGAAATCAAAGAAAGAAGAAGAAAAAAACCACCCCCCCAAAAAACCCCTGAGAGTTGTGTTTGCAACAGCCAACATTGCACAGCCGATGTATTTCAGATAATGAGGGTTATATTCTTTTAAATAGACGCAAATCAATTGGGGAGGGGAGGGGAGGCAACTCAGCCGGCAAACTTTCTCAACTCCCGGATTTTAATAAAAGCAACAAAACACACACACACACACACAAAGGGGGTGGTGGAAAAAAAGAGGCAAAGAGAAGAGCAAAATTGGGGATCGTCGCTGGCCAACAACTCCAACGTTGGGTTCGCCTCCTCCTCTGCGGAGGGGGAGAGACTATCAGCAGCCTCTCTGTGGGAAAGTAACTTTCCCTGGGAAACTTTCCATCCGCTCTTGACGGCCGGCGGCGGCCGGGAGCGGCTTCCCCGCGGCGGGGCTGGACGGGACGGAGGCCGGCCTCCCGTCTTCAACCAAGCGGGCGCATATCGTCTCCGCGGAGGGGACGGCACAAGAAGGGGAAAAGCCTTTCCGGGGGGGGGGGGGTCGGGGTTGCCGGGGGGGCCCGGGGTGGGGAAGGGGGGGGTGGCCACGCAGGGGAGGCCGGAGGGCCGCGGCCCGGAGGAACGAAGCAGCCCGCTCCGGCGGCCGAGTCTCCCCCGCGTCCTCCAGGGAGAGGAGGGGGGTTTTGCCACGGGAAAAGGCGGCCCGAGCGAGCCCCCGCCCCCGGCTGAGGAGAGAGAGAGAGAGAGAGAGAGGCCTAACCCCGCTCCGGCCTGCCAGGCGCCCGGAGGACGGCGGCTCGGCGTGAGGCGCGAGGCCCGCGCGGGTCGCTCGCTTCTCGGCGAAAGGCGGCCTGCTTGCACCTGCCGCGGGGAGGAGCGGGCGGGGGGGAGAGGCCCGGCGTGAAGCGCGAGCGCCGGAGCAGGCCGCGGGGCCTAACGCCAGAAGCCCGCCCGCGCAGGGCCCTTTCTCTCGCTCTCTCGCCCGCCGGCGCTGAGGCGACGCGCCGCCGACGCTCCGCCACCTTTCCCTTTTCCCCAACCCCCCCCAACCCTGCCTCCCTGCCTCCCCCCCCGCCGGAGAGGGCCCCCTCCGCCTCTTCGTCCCCGCCGAGGGCCGTGCGGGACCCCGCGGCGGCGCCCGAGCCTTACCGGGGCCTACGAGAGGCGGAGCCCGGGCGCCTCAGGCCAGACGGCAACGAAGACCCAAACTGACACGGCGGCCATCTTGGGTCCGTAGCGCTGCGGAGGGCGGAGAGGCCCTTGGCAGCGGAACAGCCCCGCGAGGGGAGGAGCCGGCCGCGGGGGAGGGGTGTGGGAACAGCCTCTCTCTCCGAGAGAGAGAGAGAGAGAGAGGAAAGAGCGGCACGGAACTGGGAGGAGGAGGGAGGGGCGGCAGGTTGAGGGAGCAGCCACGATCTATCTGTGTGTGTGTATATGTGTGTGTGCGCGCGCGCGCGCGCGGTTTGGGGAGAGGGACGGGGGCGAGCGCACGGCTCTGCGCAGGCGCGGAGCCCGGGTTGGAAATCCGCGCAAGCTTTGCTGAGCGGCGGTTCTGCGAGCCGGTTTGAAGGATCGGGAGGCTCTGGATCGCTCCTTGCGCGTTTACTTCGGAGTGAGACTATCACTAAGACTACGATCATGATTTATCACTTATAGATTTTAGGTACACTGAGAGCTTATAAACCGAAGACAAATTCCTTGTGTGTCCAATCACACTTGGCCAATAAAGAATTCCTATTCTATTTCTATTCTATTCTATTCTATTCTTCGTCCAACATTTATTCTATTCTAATTCCTATTCTATTCTATTCTTATTGTACCCTATAACTATCATTAAGTGTTGCACCTGATGATTCTTGACTCTTGACGAATGTATCTTTTCTTTTATGTATACTGAGAGCATTTGCACCAAGACAAATTCTTTGTGTGTCCAAACACACTTGGCCAATAAAAGAATTCTATTCTATTCTATTCTATTCTATTTTATATTGTCTTCTCCTTTAATATTCTGCATTATATTCTATACTATACTATTCTATATTCTATATTTATTCTATTCTATTCTGTTTTATTCTTCTATTTTTTATTCTATTCCATTTTTATTCTTTTATTCTTATTCTATTCTACATTCCGTTATATTCTATTCTATTTATTCTATTCTATTTTATTCTATTCTATATTCTATTCTATTCTCATTCCCTATTCTATATTCTCTTATCTTCTATTTCTCTCTTCTCTTCTTCTCTTTTATCCCTATTCCATTCCATTCTATCTTAACCTATCTCTTATTCTATTTTATTCTATTACATTTCATTAAGAATGCAATCCCAGAGTGGCAAGATATGGGCAGCAACAGGTAGCCCCAGCATCAATATAAAGATTTTGGAGCAAAAAAGGCAAGGAAACTAGCTAGAGATGTTCTTCGATATCAACAATCTATTTATAAAGAATTATAAACTCCCCACTGCAGAAATCTGGAGGATCCTTGCACATGACTGTTTGCTGCCATCCTGTGGTGGTCAGGATTTCAAAGACCCCCCCTCTTTTTATTATATTTATATTACATAATTGCTGCTAATGTTGCAGAAAAAAAATGGCACTTGATCCTTCGTGAAGAACCTGGGGTTCAAGCGAAGAGAATCATTCCACGCAGCTGAGAAAAAACGGTTAAAGCATGTTTGTTAGATATGTTTTATTATGCAAAAAAATAATAATAAGATGGAGAAGATATTTCTAGATGGTCCAGCTTTAAAAAAATATTTCAAAAGACTGAACTGGTTGCATGTTTTATATTACTATACGAAATTCATTTTTATTTTGGAACTTTTAGTTCATTTTAGTCTCATTTGTAATTATCATTCTCATACCAGCAGAGAAATCAAATCAAGATCACACGAAGTGTTAGAACCACCTTATAAAGCCTTGATAAGACCCTACTTGGAATCCTGCATCCACCATGATATAAAAAAAGATGCTGGGACTTTGGAAAGAGTGCAGAGAACGGCAACGAAGATGATTAGGGGACTGGAGGGTAAAACATATGAATAGTTGCAGGAATTGGATACGTCTAGTCTAATGAAAAGAAGGACTAGGGGTCACATGATAGCACTCTTCTGATGTTTGAGGGGCTGCCCCAAAGAAGAGGGAGACAAGCTATTCTCCAAAGCACCAGAAACCAAGATAAGAAACCATGGATGAAAACTAATCAAGGAGAGAAGCAACCTAGAATTGAGAAATTTCTTGACAGTGAGGACAATTAACCAATGGAACAGTCTCCAGAGGTCGTGGCTGCTCCATCAGTGGAAGCTTTTAAGAAGAGACTGGACAGCCACTTGTCTGGAATGATATAGGGGCTGGACTAGAAGATCTCCAAGGTCCCTTCCAATTCTGTTATTCGCATTGGTATTATTTACTTTTTTATTTGTCTCGTTATACTACAGAATAAAAATATATATTTAAGCATGATTTATTTGTGCCTATGTATCAGTCCAAAGGAACATTCAAGAATTAAACCTAAAGCTCTAAACTTTGCCTGTTTTAGCTGGTAAAATATCACAGCTCAGCACACAAAATCAAGTAACAGGAGCACAGGAATTTCAAAACCAGAGAATTCTGGATGCCTGGAACACAATCAAAACAGAACTGATTTGTAGAGGATTGTAGCCTTTGCCATCTTAAACATGAATGGGCAGGCTGGCTCTTTAAAGTATAATATTCTTGGGGAACATGGCTTAACAAGAGTTTTTTTTTTTTCCTCAGGTGGAGTTCCTCCCCACCCATTCTTGGACTGGCAGAAAACTAGCCCAGCCTGAAATTTCTTCGTTTTCTTGCCAGCCCACGTCCAGCCCTTCCTTCCTCCAATCCCAAGGACTGCCTTGACTATTTTCCAAACTGTCGATGCCAAAGGCAAGCAGATTTCTACACCATTCGAGGCGGTCCTTGGTCAGAAAGAGAAAAGATTAACATCACCACCACCAACTCATTTTTATTAGAGCAGAAAGCACTACATATACCTGAGTTATAATTAAAAAAAAAAGTGGGTACCAATAATATATAGGTTGCCCTTGACTTATGACCACAATTGAGCTCAAAATTTCAGTTCTTAAGCGAGACATTTGTTCAGGTGAGTTTTGTCCCATCTTACTACATTTTTTGCCACCGTTGTTAAGTGCATTATTGTGAAAGTTAAGTTAGTAGCACAGCTGTCAAGTGAACCTGACTTACCCATTGACTTTGGTTGTCAGAAGGTCACAAAAGGAGATGACATGAGCCATGAAATTAATCTGATAAATAGCAGGCTTTAAGACTTGTGGGCTTCCACTCCCAGAATCCCAAACTTGGCCAC